TGACTGACCATAGTTAGAGAATATTCAAATCTGAATATTCGACTACTTGGACAATATTGAAATCTGAATATTCGACAATATTCGAAAGAATTTGAACATGTAACATATTTAGATTTGACATGACCTCAAATTTTTGCAGAAAAATCGAGAAAATTTGATTTTTGTTGATGTAATAGCTTTTGGGCATATATTAGATTTATTATGCATTGCAGTCAGGCATTTTAAAAAGCGTGTGAAAATGGGTCCAGACATAATCAGGAAAAAATCTAATGTTACTTTTCTTTTCATAGGACTGTCAGAGAAACGGTGAAATTTATATCAGTATCCGAAAAGACGCTTCCAAGACAGCTATTCTGTTATAAACTATATTCAGCTAACAGGATGAGACAGAACATACTTGAAAGTACACAAAAAGGTATTTGGATTCTATTTAATTTTGAAACAATTGGAAAAAATTTTCGCTTCCTGGTAGAACAAATTCAAGAATTTTGACACCTCGGATTTATTTGTTCCTCTGCTCATCCGATCGTACTTCTTTCATTTCTGCTATTTTTTATTGATCAAAAAATGTCGCTAAAATTGGATGAGAAAATTCAATATATTAAGAGAAAACAGTAAAAAATCTCTAAACAAATAAAATCTCCAAATAATCTAATAAATAAAAGAGTCCTAGTACTAGTAGAATCTTTACCAGCAGAAAAATTACTAAAAATTAGAATGTCTTGGCTATATCAGGAGATTTGCGCACCTAGTCACTCTTTAGAAAATATTGCGTGGAAAAATTTCAAGGTTCTGCGGGCAAATGAAAATTCGAAAAGTTCTTCCGAAATCGAAAAAATTAAAACAAAAGTTGACTCTTTTATCAATATCTATACCAAATTTACCTAATTATAACCTAGTGGAAGTACTTGAGACCAAGCACTTAGTTACTTGCAAATTTTCTGAAGTACGTGATTAAGCACTTGTCAAGCATTTTTAGATTTAATATGTACCCAGTACTTGGAAGAACTTCGAATACTTGAATATGTTTCGCAAATACTTACCAAGTTACCTGCCAAATACTTGATGAAGTACTTACCTAGTACTTACATTTGTTAAATTACTTGATAATTACTTGTTTTTACTTGCAAAAAACTGCAGGTACTCTGGACATTACTTACGCAAGTACGTTTCTAAGTACTTACGAGGAAAGATCCCCAAGTATACAATCGCTTTTTGCTTGAACTTTAGTAGACAATAGATAATCGATTGCACTAAATCCGAATCTGACATCGGTTCGTGCTGCTAGGCCTCCAGAGATCGGGTTTCCTGAAAACCAGTTTTTCGGAAACTCTAAAAAGTAACCAAAACCTTTCTTAATGAGGCCTGATTGTAGACTGCAAATTTCTGATTAAAATGAGATGTCTCTCAGCTCTACACGACTTTCTTTGCACAGTTATAGAATTTACAAGAAAAGCCCTAAATATTTATTGTCATCTCAAAGCTACAGAAATAGGAAGAAATTAATTTCGGGCTTTTCGTGTAAATTCTATAACTTTGCAAAGAAAGATCATGTATAGCTGGGAGATGCTTCATTTTAATCAGAAATTTGCAGACCACAATTATGCCTCATTAAGAAAGGTTTTAGTTAAACCAAGTAAGAACAAGTAATTACAAGTAAATTTACCTCTGGAAAAGGCAAGTACCGGCTTCATTACGCAGACAAAGTACTTAGTCCAAGTACTTGGTCCCAAGTGTGTTCTCTAGGGAGACTGAATACGATATATGAGAAACGAAGAGAGGATATGCATGATGAAAGATGAGGTAAAAAAATGGCAGTCTTGACAAATTTTTTCCTGCTGAAAAATTCCCACCAGGTTTAAGGCATTCACGAACAAAAACTTTCTGCACCATTCTTCTCGTTTCCCGATATAGCACAAACTATTTCAACACTCAGTAAGTGCAGTTCAACGATAGTTAGCGCGACAATCGATGATAACGTACAGCACCGCTGAGTACATGTATCACCATCATCCAGGACTCTAGTATAGCAGTCGAACAGCCCACCAGCGTAGTACCGGCGATCACGGTTATAATGAGTGTTAATGATGCCGGTCAATTAGTTGAGAATATACCGTCTTTTAAATTTCAGAACGACAACACTGTTAACGAGCACAATGCCAACCACAAGTATGAATATCGAAAAGTTTATTTCTTTTTGGAAGTTACAAAAACTGAAGAAGCTTTCCGCCGCTGGGTTCTTTTAGTTAGATGAAGTGTGGATGAGATACTTCGTGTTTTCAAAAATCTTTTATGCCCAAACATCATCAATCTCTAGTCACTTTTTGTAGGTGGTACCACTCAAGAATTAATCAGTATCGTATTGGAGATTTCTTAAGCACACTCCAAACTGATTCATATATTTTCAGCAGTAACTACCGCATTACGTCAGGTATGTACGTTCTACATGCATGATCAGTGTTGCGGACAAGCAAGCAGATATTTTTTGTGTGAAAGAATCTTCTCTTCGAGAAAGAGAACAACTACAAACAAAAAGATAAGAACGCATTTGTTCTTATCTTTTTCTTAAGAGTTGCATGGTATTGACTATGTTTTTATATTTTCTCAACTAACGGTGTCAAGTGTTCATCATGTTTTGTGTCTCTCTTGTGCTGTTTGCCGGTTTTCTGCACATTCTTGCTATCGTTTCTGCTAGAATCGCACCGTCTCATGTTAGAACTGGTGGTGGCTTGACGTTCCAAGATGATCAGGTGATTAATTTCGAAACGATTGGAGGCGTTGCTGGAAACGACGCCTTATCCACCTGTTGGGAAAATTCGATTCTTCTCAATAAAACTCTTGCTTCTTTGAAAAGTGGCAATATTCTCCTTATACCCTCTAATCGAACGTTCTGGTTGATGGGCGGTATCTATGCCCGTGGTCTTTTTAATGTAACCATTCAGATTGACGGGATTCTCAAATTTTCTGACGATCAAAACGAATGGCCTCGTGACCCCCATACTCTTCACGTTCGAGAATGTTTTTATTTTGAACAATTGAATTATGTCACTTTCACCAGTTCGCAGGCTGCAGGCAACAAAGGCGTCATTGATGGTTCCGGTAAACATTGGTGGGGTCTGGTGGAATACTTGCTTATTGGTGAAAATCGACCCCGTTTACTGTCGATCTACAACTCCACCAATCTTTTGGTCGAGAATCTACTGTTGAAAGATTCCCCTTATTGGACATTTTATGCCAACGATATTGCCAATTTGGAAATTCGTCACACAGATGTAGATGCACGCAGACGCCAAAACGTTCACTGGCATGATCTGGACGAAATGACCGCTTTTAATACGGACGGATTCGATGTGGCTGGTAAGAATGTGTGGATCCATGATTGCAACATTTGGAATGACGATGATTGCATTGCAGTGAAAGAACAGGATTCAAACAGTATTCATTCATCATGCAGTGAAAATATGTTATTTGAACGTATCAACGCCTCAGGCGTGGGTCTGACAATCGGTTCTATTGGTCCCTCAAAAGCTCATTCCTGTGTTCGTAACATTACATTTCGTAATTGTACTATGTATAACACCTTCAAAGGAATTTATTTAAAATCGCGCCCAGGAGAAGTAGGGTACACTGGTGAAATCACGAATATTACTTACGAAAATGTTCAAATTAATAATGCTTCTCAATGGGCGATATGGATTGGACCTCAACAGGCTGGCTATAAGGAGGCTTGTTCACTCCTGTGGCCTTTTATACCTGAAACACCCTGTCCTATTCCGTTTGGTATTACGTGGAATAACATTGTTTTACGAAACATCACTCTCAATGATCCTCAACTGAGCCCCGGTGTGATAATCGGCAACGTCTCCAATCCTATGCTAAATGTGCTGTTCGATAATGTGATCGTGAATAATCCTGGTTTTCTCCCTTGGGGCAACCACTTTTATGCATGCTCTGGTGTAGAGGGAATTGCACAAGGAAACACTCACCCTCCACCACCATGCTTCAAAGTGAACCCGTTATAACACTCGCTACGAATATTTCAGTATCTTATCTTTTTTTCTATCACGTAAACAATAAAAGCAAATGTGATTCTAAATACAGTGAATATCATACACAGCCCTTAGCAAAAATCAGCGAGGTCAAAATCCGTTTAGAAATTCTGAATAAAAGACAATAACTGAGGTGGAAATATATCAGACAGTATTAAAAAGTAGTGAACTCTGTTCCTGTTTTTTCAACGTTTCCTTGCTCAAAGACTTTAGTCAAAAATGGGTCGACCGCAGTTTGCCTCTTCACAGGTCGGTACAGTCAACGCATCTGATAATTAACGGTTTGAATCACTCTCATGCGTAGCATGGATGCAGACGTGTTTCAGAAAAGAATTGGTCTCTGATTCACTCGAAATACCTTCAGTAACTTCCAGGCGGGACTTTCCTCAAGCTTGAGTGCCTCGCAACAGCACTGAAAAGGTGAGAGTGAGGGTCAGTTTGCTTCATACCGAAATAAAGAAGAAAAAACGCAAATATTATCATTTCACTTGCCTACTAAAGTACGAAATTCATCGGATAGAATATCCGCAGTCATATGCTTCGACTAGTATAGCAAATCGATCGAAAAGGTTCATTAGCCGAAGGATAGAAGTCAAATTCTTATCTTCCGATAACCAGTCAGCTCATCTCCGATTGAGCTATCGCGTGGGACTCATAAACTCTACTCGAATGACGAGCATAATTCGAAAACCTTCTATCGCAAGAATGAAGTTTGACCATTTAAACAGCAATTATGTTTTTCAACCAAAGAACTATCTACTAACAGGAATAATAGCCGAAATCGCTTACGATTAATGAATAGGTTTTCACAAATTACTTTTAGCCTCAAAAACCTATCAAAAAGTGGAAAAATTATTTTCTCGGCAAAATCTAAATGAAAGTCCACCAAAATTTCAAGATATGTACAGTTTGAGATGGCCTTCCGAATTGCGCAATAATCCAGCTTACAGTTTAATACTTGAATTTTTCAGAATCTTTTTAAAAATGGGGCAAAATTGCCGATATTTCACGAACAACCTTTCTTCCCAAAGATTTGAAATCCGATCCTGGAAAAAGTTCAGGATATACAGTCCTGTACCAGCTCGTGCACTTATCTCATTGGGTAGTACCCTTCTTAATACCCACTAAGTGAAAATTGTTTAACGATGAATATAATCGAAAAAGGTCATGGACGTACATTTGACTCTTCCCATGATTACTTCACTTTTTCCTGAGACGTACGGTGAATATATAAAAGTTGTTTAGTATTCTGTATATCACGCAAAGAGAAAAGCATCGTCATGAAAATTAAAGCAGGAAACTTTATGATGGTCCTCGTCTCAACAAAAATTCGTTTTTAGTTACTTACCGATTCGTTCAGTAGCATTGGTACACATCATAAATAACATCAAATGGTAACAATTTTCTTATAACAATCGTCACTAGAAAATCGACGTTACAATTTTTAAACATAAATGAATGAAAAAATAGAGTGAATAAAAACAAAATATGATATTTTTATATAACAAAAGCGTGTTAATGTTTCGAAATCAATGAAATGTTCCTTAATTATTACATAAATAAAACTTAGAGAATAATGACCTTCTCAAATTAGATTGGTACATAAACAGTTTTATGTAGCTATTAACATGTTAAAAACACTAATTTATTGTACTTAGTTTTACTAAATTTAGTATTCATTAGAGTGAAGCAGTGACAGGTATAGACAGTCATCCAACATTTTCTAAAAGCTGAAACTTTCAGGATTTATTTCATGAATATATATCAGCGTTTTTCTCATTTTACTCAAAGTAAAGGCCTGGATGCACACCTATATGTGGCATAGATTATTGGAAAAACGAAGCACATTAATAATGATGATAAGTTAAAAACATATAAGAGAAATATTTTGGATAAAAACTTCACGTACTCCTAGATCCTATACAAAGGACCAACAAAATGGAGGATGTGACTTGAACAATGGTGTTTTAATCGTCTAAATTTATAACCACTTAATGGCAGTAGGCGAATATTATTTCGATTGAACAAAATGCTTATTGAAATAATTCACGCAAAAGTAGTATAATATATACGTCATTTGACTTTGGTAATTTTAACGTCGGAATTCATGAATGATAGAAAATAAGTCTTACATAAAGTAATCAGAAATATTAAGTGACAGGTCCATAAAAAACGATTCTTTGATAAAGGTATAAGTGTAAAGTAGAAGAAATAATAATATATATGGGCAACTCCAGGGTCACGAACGTGCCGTTCGTATACGTTTGTGCCACTATAAACCTCTAACTAAAACAGCACTAAAACCCTTATTGTCATCTCATATTAGTACCTAGTTACTGAATATACTGTGAAAGTTGAAAGTTATAAATGCTTGTTAAGACTACTTCTAAGGATAGTAATGATTGGAAAGCTTGTCTTTTTTTAGCACGTCCGTGACGGCGTAGTTTTTCATCTGAAAAGTAGTCTTAACAAGTACTTACAACTTTCAATTTTTCACAGTATATTCAGTAACTAGGTACCAATATGTGATGATAATAAGAACTTTAAAGGTCTACAGTGGCACAAGGTGTACGAACAGCATGTCCGCAATGTTGAAGTTACCCAGATAAGAGAATGTTTTTATCTGTTTTTAACACAAAAGGTTCACGCTTCTTGGTATCTTAAGGTAGCCATAATTTGTCGAGAAAAACGCAGTAACCGTATGTCAAGTGAAATTCTGACGTTTAAAAGTTTTTACGACAACATAATTATTATAATACCACGGAAGTCTAAAAGTTCGTTCATGTAATATTGAACATTAATGCAACAAAATTGCCATGATATGTTCGTCAACATAATGGTTTTGATCACGACGTTTGAAATACTTTTTCATGGTGCCTTCTATTTGAAAGCCTAACTTTTCATAAAAGTGAATCGCCGCTAAGTTATCGCATTCCACGCAAAGTTCAACGCGTTTTATTCCTTCGTTTTGTAACAATTTTATCAGTTGACTTAAAAACGAAGTCCCGAAACCTTTTCTCTGCATAGTCGGGTTTGTCGCTAGTGTTCCAAGTTGAGCATTGTGTGAGCACCGGCGTTCCTGACGAGTAACAATACATGTGGCAGCAACCATGCCATCAACTTCATAAACATACAACTGACCAGACTTCAACAATTCACCAAATAATGGCCTGAATTCTTCGACACTCATAATTTCAAATGATAAATAGGGATTTACCGTTTCAGCCATATAAATCGGATATAAATGGTCAAAATCATCGTGTGTACCATGTCTTAACATTTCAAAGTCTAGCCAACTATAAATAAAATCTGATTTTTTCGATTAGAGATGCACCGATTAATAACCGATGTTGGAGCATCAGGAAAACCGTTCCGACTTGAGTAAAGTAAATCTCTCAGAACCGCTGAATCTCAATTTGTAGAGAAAGGTTGGCTCTACAACAGTAAAGTGCTAAAAAAGTTTTAATGTT